CCCCCCCCCCCCCCCCCCCCTGGTTGCCCGAAGTGGTATAGATCGTGTTTCAGATCACCAAGTAGGGATCGCGCGCGTTGCAGGTCAGATTAAGGGCCGGAAACCACGGACCAACCAAACTTCATGATTTTGGACCGAATAGGACGACCAACACCAACTTCTTTCCGTCTTGTCAACTTTCTTCTTCCGTATAATTAAGGATGGAGAAACAAAGTATAAGATAAGATCTCGGCTTGGAAGTCGATGGATCAGCTGAAAACTCTCATGCAAGAGATCATTACAATTACTTTTGCTTCCCCATACCTAACCCATACTTCTTCAGCACTCATCCCGGCCATGCCGTATAATCCATACCCAACTAGCCCTGCCCAGCAGCTAGCACAGTCACGATTACCACCTATCCACTCATTAGGTTACATAGGTCGAAAAGAAAGAGATTCGAATGTCTACAAACAATCATTCAATAAACATCGACCCAGATATACGAGATTAAAGCGTCGTCGAGAAACCTCACTGGACAGTTATCGAGCTGCCCAAGCAACGCCCCTTATCCAAAAAGCAACGTCTATTCTCACACGACACAGAGATGATTGCTTATTTCTTGGAAAATATTGCACCTGTTCAAAATCCCATCCTCGTATTGGTAATCGGTATAGCCAGTTCTCTCTTGAAAGAGGTGATATTCATAACTCCCCGCTCAAAGCAAAAAAGGGACAAAGCAGGAAATGGTACCTAACCAACGCATTGGCTTCGTCCATCCATCCCCAACACATCATCTAATCTCAGTGACACACCAGCTATGGCCACATATAATTATAATAAGACGAGCTTCTGCTCCACTACCATCTCAACAAGCTTCATGACTTCCATCCACAATCCACTATCCACTACTTTAATCAGCAACTGCACTCTCATCCGCCACCTCTCCCTGCTTTGCCGCAGGAGGGATGCTAATGTTGGCACGGGACTTGTACTGGGCGTCAACAAACCGATCCCAGTGTTCTGGGTCGCTTGCCTCCATGCACTTAAGCGCGACATCCCTGTCTTCCTTGAAGGCTCTCACAGCACCCTTCTTCTTGACGAGTTCCAAAAGCTCCCCGCCAATATCCTCGGCCATCTCGGTAAGCATTCCCACATGTTTAGGATCAGAACCGATATCGTCGATTGTGCTGAGCAGGTCGATCTGCTCCTGCTTGATAAATCCGGCACGGAAGCGATGACCAGCACGAAGAATTCGTCCCTCCTCCTCGACCAATATCTTGGCCATAGAGTTAGACCTGGAAAGCGGTTTACCTGCATGGATCTCGCCCTCGTCTTCGTTGTCTGACAGAGCCATTGCAGAGTCCTCCAGAGGCAACGTCGTAGGATATTCCTCGATTCCCTTGGTTCCAGCACGCGGTCGTCTTAGGGGTGTTGTATCCTCGCGCGTGTCCGGGTACTCGTCCTCAAAGCGCTTGATGATGCCTTGCAGAGTGTCGTCCAAGAATGTCAACCTGCGCAGGTTATGCTCATCATCAGAATTGGCCCTCGCCTTGATAAGTGCCGGCTGAAGGCGAACTCGAATCTTACGAGCTCCCATCAACAAGTGTTTCGACATATCCTTGGCCTTTCCTCCTGTTGATAGATTCGCCGATGGTGTCGCTGCTGGACTTGTTGCTCCATTCTCAATATCACGGATGAATTCGCCAGACTGCCTCCTTGACTCATCGCCTCGGTTCTTCAAACAGCAAGCAAGTGCCTTGACCACACCAGTACCCCCAATGACATAATCTTCGTCGGGTGCGGAACTGTTATCGTCGTCGCTTTCGTCTTGATCCAGCACGTCATGCCCGACAAGATGTGCGAGGACATCGGGGTATGGTGGCAGTTTCATATCGCCAGCCTCCAGATTGTTTTCGGCAAGTGTCGACGCCATGACCGCGCCAGTGTCGGTATCGGGGAGTCGCTCCATGTTACGCAAGCAGTAGGCAACAACTTGCTTAGCCATAGCTTTGACAATCTCACCTGAATGTTCACTGGGTACTTCAACATCCACGCAGATGAGGCTCTTGGAGACACGAGCTGCAGCAAGCAGAGAGGCGTAGAGGGCGCAAGCTTCTTCCTGTGCTTCTTCCGTTCTTGCGTCTGCAAGCTTGACAATCTCAGCATTGTTGGTGATGTTAATATGGGCCAGCGTTTGCACTTCGGGAAGTACTTCGACGATTGCAATAGCTTGTTCTGGTGTCATGGCAGCATCTTCCAGATGCATACGTTTTAATACCTTCATCTTGGGCAAATACCTAAATGCAGTTAGAAAACGTGCAGTCACATTTGTGGGCGAACCATTTGCGTACCTTCTGAGGAGACCAACAGCACTGGGTGTTGACTGGAACAAAGCCGGGTTCTGTGACAAGTCAAAGAACCGCAGGTTTGGCAGCTTGACCATTACAGGTAAGATCTTGCAAAGCGCTGAAGGGGTCAAGTTACAGCCAGCCATGCCCAGGCCCCACAAAGTTGTGTCGTTCTCAATTGCCGTAGCCAGAGCTTCAGTATGTTGACCGAGATCATTTCCACCCAAGTCCAGACCTTCACAGTGGCCTTCGGTAAGGAACCTGACAACGTGTTTCATGCCATCTGCATCGATCTGATTGTGCGACAAGCCGAGTCGTTTAACACCACACTGTATTAGACCGTCCACGACCGAACCCAGTTGTTCCATGGTCAGGCCTGCCTGACCGAGATTAACTAACTCGAGTGTAGATCCTCCTAGGCGTTCACCCAAGGCCTTGGAGAAGATATTCGATATGCTTCGAGGTACTTGCACTCCATTGTTGGGTGATCCATTTTGTGGAGTTTGAGGCTGACGTGGGAACTGAATCTGCGAGATATCGAGGAATTTGAGCGACCGGCATAGATAGATGAAAAGCGAAAGATACTTCCATCCATCGGGACCAATCTTATTGTTCTTCAAAACAAGCCGCTCCACCACGCCTCCTTGTTCCTCTTCGTCGTCGTTTTTGTGTTTCCGTCGTTTTATGGCAGGTCGCTTGGCAGCAAGTAAGCCAGCCAGAATAACTCTTAAGCCCTCATCGCCCAGACCACTGTTTTCTAATAATATCTCCCTGACTGGAACAATTGCCAAATAGTCACCCAGAGTTACAAGATCTGGTAGTTGTAGCCAGTAATCAGTAAGGTCGAGCTTGTTGACTGTGCCAGTCGAAGCAGTGTAGTTGGCCGTATCAGTGAGCTGTTCGGTGATCTTCTTAAGAATCGGTGTTTCCCGTAGCTGGCAACATCTTCGGTACACTCGAACCGGATTCGTTGTCGGTGCTGTCTGGGGCTTGGTAGGCTGGGGAGCACTGGGAGCACTCGGGGGCGTTTTTGTCTTGTCCGAATCATCGCTGCTATCATAGTAAATTTCCATAGGAATGGATCCGTTGGCTTCTGCAAGTTGTCGTTTCTTTTCCTTCCTGGCCTTGCGTTCTTCCTCGCTCTTCTTCTTTTTCTCTTTCTTCTTAGTATTTTCTTCCTTTTTGTCGGAGAGGGGAGTTGGGCTGCCGTTGACCGTCTCCGAAGTCTGCTGAGGAGCCTCGGACCCTTCTTTTTCAGGTTCCTTTGGCAGCGATTCTCCTGTTTTCTTTACTTCTCCGTTGGTTTCTTTCTGGTCTTCCACAGCCTTTGGATTCTTAAGGGCCTCCCCCTCGCCTTTTTCCGCCAACTTCTTCTTTTGTGTCTTGTCGGTTGTCTTGGGCAATTGCGAGTCACCATCGACGTATCTGGGCTGAGGCGCAATTTCGACGTCTACGCAAAATGCAACCCTTCTTAATTTGGCACAAGAGAGCTCTTGTATAGGACATCTCTCTCTGTGCTGGTCCACATTCAAAACTACCCTGTCGACAAGACCGTGACCGAGTTTTCCGCTTTGTGTAAGAGCGCCACTGTTGGAAGATGAGAGGCGACGGAACATACCCAAGAATCCGGGCTGGCCACTCTTGGGTGGTGCTGGTATGTAAGGTCCATCACCTTCAGGTTTCGTGGCATGCGGTAGAACGGCGTTCTTCGATTGGGGTAGCTTTGGCGGGACAGGATCTTGCGATGGTGCCGGCGACGATTCTGGTATAGGAGCTGGCGAAGGAGGACCAGGGGCTGGCGGTGTGCCGGAGGAAGAGAATTTGGCCGATATATTGGAGAACCATGAATTGCGACGGTGAGGCGAAGTACCAGGAGGGGTCTGCTTGTCTATAGAATTCGAGCGTGACGGCCTTTTAGGGGCAGTAGAGCCATTCAGTGTTGTGGTTTGGCCATTGTTTGAGGTGTTGGAGTCTACGGAAGCATTCTCTGTAGGGGCCGAAGCCGGTGACTTCGGTCTCGAGTTTGCGCCGGGGATCTGTCGTGGGAGAGCTGCTGAGGGAGTTTTGGTTGGTGGTGAATTCCTAGTTGTTTTATCTGTTCAACGTGTTAGCTCCAGATCTTGATTCAACGCATCACAACAAACAAGACGACGCGCATCTCGTGGTGAGGCAATTGAGTGCGAGTGGCGATTCAAGAACCTGCCTTTGGAAGCACCATGGGTCATCCAGCTGACATCAACGCCATGAACCTGCTCCATAGTGGGAGGGGAGCCGCAACGGCAGGTGAAGACTCGAGTAAAATAATGGTGAGTTCGATGATATTGGTTTATACAGATTAAGCAATGTTGTAGTCGGTCAAAGGAGAGCGAGGCGAGTGAGGAAAGAGGAGAGAAGCAGAGGCCGAGAGATAATGATTAGTGAGGTGGTGATGGGATGTGGATGGCTAGCGAATCCTGGAGACGAGCTTGGTGGGCTGGATGAGGTATAGTCGGCAGTAAGGTAAAGAGCTAGACAAGGTTAAGGTACCTGGTGGTTGAACAAGTACAATACCGAGAACGGGTTACGAAGTACAGGTACTTGAAGTGGGCTTGGTCTGGACTATGCGCGAGCGGTCTCGGCCTGGCATGGAACAATGACGATGGAAGATGAAAGATGAGGAGATATGAAATGAAATTGGGAGAGTAGAAGCATCTAGGTACTGTACTGTACTGAAGGCGATGATTATGACATATCCAATAGCGGGGTAGAGGTTTGTCACGAGCGTGTTGATCTAAGGCACAGGCAAGTCCAGGACATTTACGATGCAGAAATCCCAATCAGCAATGCCAATAAGGCATTAAGCATTTCAACGATTGACACTAATGTACCTTCATGGATGGATGAACAAGAAGTCGGGAGGCAAAAGGCTGACAGGCTTCTAATTACTGTGCTATGCTGCTGACCAAGAAACTAAAAGGGCGAACCTTGCCTGCTGATCAAGGATGACAGCCCTGACAAATAAGTCACTGCGAATTCAGGGTCCGACAAGATCTCGAGTGTTACAGTACGATGCTGGAGGTCCTATGATATGCCCCAAACAATACCTGATTATTCGAGGCGAAACTCAAGTTTAGTTTGTGATGCAATAGAGACGAAACGAGTATCTGTCTCTGAACGGGACGGGTAAAAGAGGCTTTTGAGATGGATCTGAGGGGAAGCAACAGCCGCCCGTCACGTAGCCGGTCGGATATGTGCCCTGTAGGTACCTGTACTTCAACATCAACCCGCATGTACCGAACCGACTGGACCTAACCTGACCCCGGTTTTATCGGGGCCCTGGGACCCGGGCACGGAATTTTAGCATTGAAATGAACGTCAGTGCAGAGACGAGATGGCGGATTGTATTAGTGAGTAGGATACGATACAGTACAATACTGCGAGGCGATGACGAAGTGAGCACGGTTTAGGTAATCCAGTTAACAAATGAGTTCCCCTATTCTCTTTTTCTGCCAGACTTCATGCAACAGTGGTGAACAGGTTCGATATGCATCGCACAAGGTAGAGATCAACCATGGTCGGTGCAACCTCCGATGATGCAAATCCCCTCGACTCAGCCCATGATGAGCGAAGCACAAACAAACGACGTCACAGCCCTCTTACAAACACACTATATCTTGTGACAGGTACGTTACTCAAGGGGAACATGATACGCTTTGTTCTCGAGACCTGAGTCCGAAAACTTGCCCTAGGTATCATTACTCAGGCTAGGTACCTTACCTACTCCAATGTTTTGTGCTGTATTGCAAATCTTAAGAGGGCCCTGAGATGGCATAATTCTTGGCAGTAGATGTCATCGCACAACAAATGAATATTCTTAGTACAGTGAGTCTCCATCAATGCCGAGGTTGGCCCTGGTATCCGTATGCGCCGAGACATTACCTATGCACTGAATCAATGAACCCTTAATCAACGTGGGCCTTTTTTATTTCAGTCTCTTAAAGCAGGGTCCATCTCGTAGGATGCATCCGATCTTCATTTCACTCGATTGCATCATTCGCTCATGGTCAAGAACCCACCGGATCCATCCGCTTCGGAGCCAACAGTGACGGCCGGTTCGAAAACGTTACGTCCGGTCCCCTTTCGCTCTTCGCTTTGCACGCGCCACCGAAATCATCACCGGCCGCGGAATCTAGATACTGTCCGGGGAGGCGAGGCGAGATCACCAATCTTGTTGTCCGCGGAAATTAGCAGGGCATGAATCGCTCGAAATACTCACCAACCCGCTGTTTAGCGTACTTTCAGCTTTCAGGCTCAACTCAACTCTCTCAGGGTCTTTCTCCATTATACAGTACCCACAACATTACCCGTCTCCGATAGAAAGGAACGTCTCTTCAATTCCGGATCTTATTGTGCGGTTACCATGAAGAGCCAAAACTGTTTCTGCGATCGAGCCTCAGTCCCTCAAACGCAAGTAGGTGAAGTGATTCTGTCAGAGGGAAGAATACGACCAACTCGCCATTACTTACACACACGTTCAGTACATTCTTTCACTCCTTTCAGGTAGTCAGCAGTCTGTGAATATGTAATCCGACTCACCTGGAAGAAACCTAACTGATACTAAATGCAGACTTCCCGTCGCAACTAACCCGAACAGATATTGACTTTCAAACGTTCATGAAACTCAAGAATCTCGATGAATGTGATGAACACACAGGATCTCACTGCTGCTGGATTCCACTCGAGTTCTCTCATTATTGTTAAACGAATGCTACGGAACCTACCCTGTAGTAGACGATGAGCCAAGAGTTCAGGCTTTGAAGATTAGGGAGATTCTACTTGGTGGGGCAGTTGCCACAAAGAGGTGGGGTTTTTCATTCACACACAAAAATAATGGCAGAAACACGAGTTTTGAGATGCCGTTTCACCAAAACTATGGAATTTGGCTGGAAGGTATATTTTTGTTAATTCATTCGTATGATCCTTTTTATGGATCTTCCCTTTCCTCGAAACTCCAAACCCAATGCAAAGGTTAACAATCCTCAAATGCCCGTGACCCAATGAGATAAAGCAACTTTTTAATCCTGCTGCATGATCTCCTGGATGCGCTCCTGGATGCGCTGCTCCTTCTCCTCCTTTGTGAGCTTCTTGCTCTTGTACTTCTTGGAGATCTCCTTCCACTCCTCCTTGGTCTTCTTGGGGGCGTCGGACTCAGCCTTCTTGAAGGGGTCCTCACGGATGGCGGCGTGGGCCTCAGTGTAGAGGTCCTCAAGACCCTCAGCCTCAACGTCGTCATCGACGTACTTCTGGAACTGAGATCGGAAACGCTCCTCATCGTCATCGGCGAGGGTCTCCATGTACTCAGCGACGTGACCACCGAAGATGTAGTTTCGGAGGGTGTCGGCATCGAGCTCCTTGGTCTCCATGTCGTAACCGGGGAATCGCTTCTCGGAGTGGGGGACGAGGATACCACCGTCAGAGGCACCCTTCATGGCACCGAAGACACGGGCACCGGTGGAGGTTCGCTTCAGACCAACATCAAGGAAGACCTTGAAGGGGCGGCGCTCACCATCGTCGGTCTCGGCGGCCTCAGTGAGCTTGTACTCACCGTCAGCCTCCTCGACACCAGTGAAGTCCTCGTCGAGGCCGAGCTTCTTGAGAGCACGGCGGGCGATGAGGAGACCGGTAGCGTAAGCAGCGGCCCAGTTGGTGAGACCGTGCTCGATACCGTAGGCCTTGAGCTCGTGGGCGTAGGCAGAGACAAAGACCTTGTCGCCAGAGATCTCAGAGGTCACGATCTGGCAGATGATGTCCTTGTTGGTGAAGCGGACAACCAGGCGGTACTTGGGAGCATTGTACTTGTTCTTGGCCTGGGTGATGAGGCGCTTTCGGGCGTAGTAATCGGTCTTGCCCTGCTGGCGGCGCTTGTACTTAGTCTGGTAGCGGCTGGAAAATTGTCAGCAAATTTCTCAGAAGCAAAAAAATGGAAATAGCAAAAACTCACCTGTAGTACGCGCTATTCTTCACCAACTTGTGGAAAGGCTGTTAAAATCCCCGAGTCAGCAATTTGCGCTTCAGATTTGCTCTTCTTCCGAAGCATCTTGCGGTGACTCTTCCAAGAGCAATTGGCATTTCTGCCGTAAAAAGAAAACATCAGGGGGTTTCCTTTGCAAAGAAACTCCCCTGCGATAGGCCTCAACTTACCATCTTGACGGTATTGGCTCAACGACGACTTGAGTGTAGAAGTTTGGTGAGTTGCAAGGAACAAAGAATAAAAATTATGGAAGGTGCAACTGGTGAATCTGCTTTAACCCTAACTACCCAAAAACAGACTAGCGTGCTCTTTACCATACTGGGACCTGGGTTGGGGACGAGCTCGAGGGAAAGGTCACGTGAGTATTCAACTATCTTATCTCCCCCAGATACAATTAATGGGGGATCTGCCGAGGCTCCTCGGATGCCCCAGGCCCCGGTGGAGTCTTGGGGTGTATATCTCGAGGACATCTTGAATTCATTTGGACAGCTTAATTTATACAATATTTGATCAAAGTATATCACTCATCTTCCTTGCTTCAGTCACCCTTGATTCCAATCTGTTACAGTGATCATAATGTCAGACAGTAAGCCAAAGGTTCTCTTGTTTGATATTGGTGGTGTTTGTGTAAGTGATTAAAGAGCCTTTGTTTACTATACCATCATCATTGGCTTTTCAACTTCATACTCTGTCATTTATTGAGAACGGAATTGTATTGAAGCTCAATGTGTTTGCATCGCTGACCTCTTCAGGTTGTATCGCCTTTCCAAGCCATCCTTGATTATGAGTTAAGCCTGGGCATTCCTCCGGGATGGGTCAACTACTCGATATCTCGAACCGCCCCTAACGGCTTTTGGCACCGACTGGAGAAAGGTGAAATACCTATGGATAAGTCTTTCTTCGAAGGATTCAGCCGAGACCTTCATGACCCAGCAAGATGGGAAGCTTTTTATAAGAGAGAGCAAGGCAAAACCCCTAGCCTTCCAAAAGAAACACCGCCTGTGCCAACGATCGACGCAGAATGGCTATTCAATGAAATGATGACTGTATCGAACAGCCCTGACCCTTGGATGTTCCCGGCACTGAAGAAGCTCAGAGAAAACGGGCAGTTTATCCTGGCAGCTTTAAGTAACACTGTCATCTTCCCACCTGGCCACAAGCTTCACCTCGATCACTTTTTCGATGAACCTGTTCGACAAATATTCGACGTATTTGTATCGTCAGCTCACGTTGGAATTCGAAAGCCCGACCCAGCCATGTATAAGCTTGCCGTTGCCAAAGTAGACGAATTTGCCAAAACCAATGCGCAGTCACCTCGTGCGAAAGGTCGAAACTGGGACGCTGGAGTTAAGCCAGAGGAGATTGCTTTTCTTGATGATATTGGGGAGAATCTTAAGGAAGCTCGGAAACAGGGGCTGCGGACGATTAAGGTGAATCTTGGCAGGGCATTTGAAGCTGTTGACGAGCTTGAGCGGGTTACTGGAATGAAGCTCGCTGGCGATCACCCGAGGATACCTGTTGAGCCCAAGTACGGAAAATTTAAGGCGAAGATGTGAGCTAAGCAGCTGGATTGAGTCTATTATTTATTTGGCAGCATATTATATTAAGCCTTTCTGGCGACATAGACGTAGACGGTATCAGAAACCTCAACCTTTCCATCTACTGCAGCGTTTTTCCATTCTTCTCTGAAGTACTCTTTTCCCTTATATCTCAACTCATCCGTGATGATGGAGGCAGTAAGAGGTCCGTTGAGGACAAACTCAAACTGCTCGTCAGCTTGATCCAGACTGAGAAATGTTGAGCCTAGACCGGGAACCTTCTCCAAGCTCTCGACTTTCTCGACAACGAATCCCCGACTCTTCAGTATATCACTAAATGAATCTTTCGACTTGATCCAGCTTCGATTCGATGGAAATGACATGCCCATTCGCCGAGCGACGTTCTCGAGTAAAATTCCCGCACGGAGGTTATACTCATGGGTAATATCAATAGTTACCTTTCCCCCAGGCTTCAGATATTCACGCCAATGGGAAACAACCTTGTATGGGTCGTCAAAGAGAACAAATGCACTCGAGCACAGGATAAGATCGAAGCTACTCTTGGTTACATGAGGACAACCGGACAGGTTGGTGACGTTGTGCTGAACAAGCTTGATGCGACGAGCCAGAATCTCATTCTGATCCAGTTTCTTGCGTGCCTCTGCAAGCATTGCTTCGGTGATATCAACGCCAATCACAATTCCCTCATCACCAACTTGGCCTGCTGCAATGACAGCTTCTAGGCCAGTTCCGCATGCAAGATCGAGGACATAATCGCCGGAATGAACGGGAACAAGTTCCATGAAGCGCCTGCTATAGTCAGGATGCCATGAGTCTTCATAATTCTGGGCGCGCTCAGTGTACATGCGCTGAGCGCTGTCGACCTGACTTTCAACAGAGGACATGGTGGGAAGGCAGTTATAATAGTACTATCACAATACTATTAAGGGAATGATATCGAGGGCTAGTGAGAGATGAAATAATTGATTAACAACCAAGATTGACGCTAGTCAATGCCTACTTTTGATGGGTTGAGGTATTTTTAAAATGTATGAAGTTAATAGCACTACAGATTATCTGCAGAGGTATTCGGCGGTTTATTCAACTGATTACAGCTGTCTGTAGCTGTATTAGTTGATTGGCTGACTCCTCTCATACTGTATGAAAGTAGTCCAAGCCATGATAATTAATTCTTGGTCAATGAAGCTCTCCAGAACTCAAAGAAAAGTAATGCCTTGATTCAAGGATTCAAAAGCCCATACTAACTCGTTCATTTACCCTGAAGAAGTGGTGTCATTCAATTGCATCCACTGCTCGCGACGGGCCGCGAATGTGGCTGTGATGCTGTGACAACTTTCTAGCGAACTTGCTGAAGACTATGCAAGAGAATCTGCCAATGATGAGAAGCACTTATTTTAGGCTGACTCGAGGAACAGTATGCCTGGAAGCGCTCTCAGATGCCTCATGATTCGGATACTGCGACCAAGAGGGGCGCAGAAGTTTCGAGACCAGGGGGTACCAACAACACAGACGGCCAACACGTCTTGGGATACCACACCAACAGCAGTCAAAAGTCCCAACTCAAAATGAAGAATCATTCCGTTGAAATAATCAAACTCATCAGAGATACTCTCACTATGTCTGGATCGAGAGCATCTGGGAACTGGAAGCTACGAAGGAAGGATTCAGTCATGAACTCTTCAGACCATCAGAGATGGAAGGAACTATATAGTCATGTAATTCAACCGTTCTGCTACAGGAGACCACACCATACCACATCCTGCTGCGCATATCTACTCCACCAAGCTGAAGTCTTACGACCGTATTCATGACCATAGCCTCCAAGACGTACATGTAGGAGGCCTTCCAGGACGACACTGCCTCTCTCAAGGCGCTTAGCCATGAAGACATCTGGCTATATATCATTTGAGACTACGACTTGAGTAATATGTTGGCATAGAAACCATTGAAAGTTCCTGTTCCCTACGACCTATCACCGTCCCAACCCAGACTCTCAGGATGATCCCTACTACTGCCACCCTCAGGACAACTTGGCCAACTACTGTCTCCGCTCTCAGGGACCTGCTTGAGATTGATGGCGGAGGTCAGATCGTCTGCCATGGTCAATCTCTAAGTAAGAAGAGACGCTGCGGACAAATCATCAGCAAAAGAAATATCCAGCTTATCAGTTCTCTGTTAAATGATGTCCTTGAACATGAGAGCTTCTCTGTTTCTGAGTCTATACTTGACCGATTGGCTCATTTGATCATGTGTCAAAGAAATCACCAAGGCCAAGCACCTCGACGACTATCATCTTGGGAGAAAATCCTTAAGCCTCTTGAAACAGTGGTTGTCAAGAAGGAAGAAGATGACATACACACCATTGACGAAGCGGACATCAAAGAGCCCCCCAAAACCGAGACTGTGGCAGTCAAGCATGAAGTTAACCCCAAGAATGATGAATCTGCCACGAAAACGGCACATCGACGTATATCTCAATCGATACCATCCACTCCAGCCAAGACTTCCATCCTTTCTACTCCTCCCACTCCACACAAGAACTCAGCAGCCAAAGCGTCCTATTTCAAACATGAATTCGAAGACTTTGGAGATCCTTGGACCATCACCGAGATAAATAAGCACATGAAAAACGCCATCCTTCGTCCCCTCCTAGACAGTGAAAAGCCGTCCGATGGCTACATCTACGCTTACACGTTCCCCGAGACATACCGCGATCCTGACCCTTATATCAAGATTGGATACGCCCAGAATGTTGACCAACGCATGAAGAAGTGGAAAGCAAAGTGTGGATATGAACCCAAAATCATTGTCCAGTTCACAGCTGAGCACTACGTCAAGGTTGAGAAGCTTGTACACTGTCAACTACGGAACCAGAGGAAGCGAGAGAAAGGCTGTCCGACTTGCCGTGTTTCGCACCACGAGTGGTTCAAGGTCCATTCTATGACAGCGTCTAGTAACATCATGATGTGGACAAGCTGGATGAGACAGATGCCATACGATGATGAAGGACAGCTTCAATTGAAATGGCGCAAAAGGCTCGAGAGTCTCGATATGACTGACCCGAATTGCTGGAAGTTGTTCGCTACAGGGGTCTTCGATGAAGATACAGACGACTCGGAGCTCTTTGAAGAAGGAGACAGTTTCTCTTGGTCGAGTGATGATCAGTCCGAGTTTTCAGGAGATGACAGTTTGGAAGATCCAGACGTTTACGAGTCTGAACCTTGCCTCATTAAGGATAAGAAGTCTTTGGGCGGGAATGGGGAATCGTGATATGGCAATGGACGAGATGAGATTTTTTGATACGATTGCACGGCTTATATGACGATGTCGGCGTTTTCTGGGGTTATTTTGTGATTTTGTCATTTATTTCTGATAGTTTGTTATACCCTGTAGTTGTATTTGATCGTTTCACACTACATCTTGCTTATAAGTTCCATATCGATGACATGACGTCTCTAAGATGAGACAATGTTCCAAGGCATTTCCTCTAAGAGACCTACCGACCACTTCGGTTTAATTAGCGCTTCAGATGTATCTTCTCCTAGTTCAACCAGTGACACAGCTTCCATATGGCGCCCATGAATCTTGGCCTCAAACCAAGCTTTCAACCACTGAATCTCTTTCGTGATTCTGGCAATGTTGCTGATGGCATCTTCGCGGCCTTCTTCCTGTGTGAAACCAACAAACACCCTCATCTCGATCTTGCGCAGTTCTTCTGCTTTCTCGAAATGTGCTATCATGCGATTCAATATAGCACCGAAATCTAATGTCTGCCGAGCGGACTGAGCATCCCAATCAGGAATGTCAACAAGAAGCAGATGTGACGCTTGCAACATGACAAACAATACTTGGTCAACAGTAACTATCGAACAACGCAAAACCATGTCAACAGGTAAGTCCAGAAAGATATCGAAAAAAGACTGCATAGCTTCAAGGCAATTGCGGAGACATATTAGTAGATAAACGAACTGAGACACTCCCTCGTCTGGATGACAAGCCACAATAATCGCAGGTTCATATAACCGCACAAGAAGATATAAGCGGTGCATCTCAAATGTCTGACTGTGGCTTGCGAGATTGGGATACGCGATTGATTCCGATAAGCGGCTCAGATCGGAGTGGAAACGTCTCCCAGTGCCTTCGAGGAGGAAAGCATACGGCCTGGACAGTGTACGTTCATGTGGCTCGCCAAACCCTTCTGAGAGTCTTTCGCTCATCTGAATGAGACGGACAATGTGCTCTGCTACAGAGTCCGAAGGTGAGGATTCGGCTTGGGCGATTGTTTTGAGACAATCCTCGATGTATGGTGTCTGTAACGGATTTGGCCGCGATTGTCTTGCGGATTGGCTGTCATGTGTTAAATCTGCATTCACCAGTGATCGACACGGATACTTACATCGATAGTACACAGTAGAGACCAAGAAGGGTGCGCTTCTTCTCTATTGAAAAAGGATCTTCTTTACGGTTCACCCTTTCGGTGTCAGGGAATTCGGGGTCACTCTTCTGCGCGGAAAATAGTGAAGTATCTTGAGTGATCCCCAAGTTATGCGCATATCCCAATGCAAGGTACGCCAAGTTAATGACCTGGCTATTATCAACATGACACTTTTGTGCCCTATATCTTATCAGCATTTACTCAGTCACCTTAAGCCAGTACTCACCAAGCAATAATCACCAGTATACCCTGAAGGACATCCAGAGTCATGTCTTCTTCGACTAACGTTCTGTAACCCAAGTATGCAAGCACATTACGCTTCATTTTGCAGATTCTAGTTTCAGATACTGGTGCCACGACTAGCATGACTGCCCGGAATAAGAACGGGTTGTGTTTATATAGCGATTGTGCTGTGTGATGACTGCTGATGAGCACAAAGGGAAACCGAGGGATGTACTCTTTGCGGAAGAGATTTAGTATCTGGGTTGCTTGCGGCCATGAAAATCCGAACAAAGGTTGAGAAGCAGTTGATGGATCTGAATTTGTATTTTGGGTATCTTGCGGTTCCTTTAGTTGTTGGATATTACCTGGTTTTAATGTTAGTCAAGGCTCGTCTCAAAACATACATAAGCCGTTTACCATCCACATCCTTATTTGACGCAGATAAAAGGCCTGGCGATTTGGCAGTAACCCTAAGAAAATTCGAAGTCAGTCAAAGATCCTATATGAACGGGTCTGGCCTTACTCTCTACTCTGATCAATTCTCCGTGGCTTCCTCAGATTACTTGTTGCCTGCGGTAGACACTCCTTTTCCAAAGCCTCGCACCTTGATCAGGTTACTCTCATACCCATAAAAGAAGGAACGAATTGTTTCTAAATACCTATCGCAAATGTGTGTCGTCTGATTCTCATCTCGGAAATGGCATCTGGCCTTGACTCTTGCGCATGGAGCGCAAGCTCGTAAGCGACGCGGTGGACTGTTAACTCTCCCCGTCATGATGGCAAATCAAATCTTATTTTACGACGGCAAGGACTTAAAGGTTGTTGTTTGACAGAGAGGTCCCAGGGTATTTGCTCCTCTGTCATGTGTTGAATGATAATGATGCTACTAACCTCCATACTAAATTAGCCTGGCATTGCCCCCTGGCGGTTTTGAAGCTCTGCTGACTATGAGGTACATTGGAGCTCTTCAGCCCATACTTACAACCCAGATATAAGAAACACAGAGTGTATTTTATTTTATTTTATTTTA